ACTTTGGCATTTGGTGAATGATGTTCTTCTCTCGAAAAATCACTACTGCATCAAAGACCTTATGTTGTTAACCAACGAGGTTATTGGGAAACGTCATTGTCGCTTGAGGACTGAATTAAGGGACTTCACACTGTTGTTTGTCATAATGTTGTATCGGTTACCATCGAAATTTGCACATGTCCATGAAGATATACCAGCATGTTCCAAATAAGAAGTAATTGTTGGTTGGATGGTTCTAATTTGTCCAATTAACTATTCAAATTTTGATATGAAGTATGCTAGTGCTGTACTCTTGAACAAGAACACAACATTGCTACTGCTATATCTAGTTATAAGATTTTTCTTAATATACCACATGCAGGTACCATTTGAGAAAGTAGGTACAACTTTGATATTACCTGTTTAATTTTCTTTTTCCTATCAGATACAAACACTAGTTGTTCTGAGTCGTCAACTACATTTTTCAACCTTGTGAAGAACCAACTCCATGAAACATTTGTTTCTCAGTCGACAATCCCCAAGCTATAGGATATATTTGCAAGATGGCTGCTTGAGCTACAGTAAATAATAATGTTCCCTTGTATTGGCCATTCAAATGACTCCCATCAATACAAATAACTGGTCTCATGTAATCTCGAAATCCATGCATATTTGCTCGAATGTTAAGAAGTACAAGAACTTGTTACTGTTGTCGAGCTCAATGTGTGCGACAGTTTCAGGATTTTTCTTAGCTAACACATGGTAGTATAAAGGCAATTTTTGAAAATTCTCTTCAAGTGAACCACGGAACCATTTAAGACCCCTTATATTTATTCCTCTAGGCTTTGTTGTAGCTAATTCGTATGTCGAATTCACGTTTGATATCCCCAATAATACCCGTGGGAATGTATGGTTCGTTTACATCATCCAATCGCTGCATTATGTGTTACCCAATTAGGGCACTGGTTGCATGGATATGTGCATTTCGCCAGACATCTAAAGAACATGTGTGCTTAGGTATGTACCTCCAAACCTTAAATATATCTAATTTTTTAATATTGGAAGCTAATAATAGCCAATGGCAGTTGGTATCCGCGCAACATACAGTGAGAGATGTAGTATTCGATTTTTTAACTTTGAAATGAAACTTTTAAGTCAAAGCATGTAGTCGACGCCTTGTGTGTAGTTGTTTCTTACTGAAGAAGATTTGAATCTCTGCAATCTCCTGTTGATCATTCGATACCTTTGCATTTACAATATATGGATTTCCTTCAACTACGTCGACATCAATATTTGTATCGCTGCATTATGTGTTGCCCAATTAGGGCACTGGTTGCATGCATATGTGCATTCCGCCAAACATCTAAAGAACAAGTGTGCTTAGGTATGTACCTTCAAACCTTAAATATATCTGATTTTTTAATATTGGAAGCTAATAATAGCCAATGGCAGTTGGTATCCATGCAACATACAGTGAGAGATGTAGTATTCAACTTTTTAACTTTGAAATGCAACTTTTAAGTCAAAGCATGTAGTCGAAGCCTTGTGTGGTTGTTTCTCTAACATCATATTGATATGCAATTACACTGCTTCTGTGTAAACATAAATGTAACATTGTAAATCTTTGTTATCGGCTACATCAGCGGAGGGTACATTCATGTTCAAAACTTTAAATTTCAAATAGATTCGAAATTTCATTCTATTAAGATGAAACTTTTCGAATAATTTATTGACAAACTCTTCATATGTAATGTCACTTCGAATAACAATTAATGTTATTCGATTCCCAAACTACTTCCACTTATCCTCCATGTTGACGAATTAACCACCTTGTGAGATAACGAATTTCATAACATCTCTCATATCTTTATGTTATCAACGCAAATAAAATTAACTAACATGAATACCTAAAACAAACATGTTACATGTAAACAACATGGTTAATGATAAATACAAAATGTTCCGTAACTTCGCCAAGTTTTGTAACATAATTCTCGACATTTGAAACAATGTCAAAAATTATAGTTGAAGTATCGTGCTCAACATTTGTAAAATGTCGAGAACGATATGTCGACTAGACACTTCACCATATGGATTTATCATCTTCTTCAACTTCGACAACCATTTTTTCAATAAATTTATTCCACAATTAATGGCATTGTCAATACATGACAATCATTGCAAATCCATCTATCAAGATGAAACTTAAGTAGGTTGAGACATCATGCTTTAGAAAAACAAAACAAAAAGGGCCAGTTTGATTTGCTCTTTTTCGCATGGAATTTGGAATTTAATTTCCTTTTCTCACCAATTGACATGTCTGATGAGTAAAGTTTGGAGGGGAAATAATTTTCTTGGCCATGGCTTACGTGCCTTCTTTTCCATGATGAGAATTGAATTTTCAGTTCACTGTAATTTTTTTTTTATTTTTTTTATTTTTTTTGCAATGAAAACAAATTTTATAACAAATTGTAAAAAAAAAAAAAAATCACTTTAATGGACAATTTACATTTAAAATAAAGCCAAATGAATACTAAATCTTGATGGAAAAATGATTTTTTAGGAAATAATTTTTTTTTTAACATTTTGGCAATGGAAACAAATTTTATAATCAATTGTACAATAAAATATCGCTTTAATGGAGAATTTTCATGTAAAATAAAATTAAACGAACACAAAATTCAAAAAATTTAGTCCATCTTTTAATATGGTTAGTTTGTGTGAATTAATTGTTAAGGGACGTTTTGTTAAATATCCGTTAATGAAAGGAACTTTAATTAAAAGAAAGGTGGGTAAAAGGTGTGAACGTTAGTTACGTACCCTAAATATGAATTTGATTTAAATATGCTCTAAGAATCTTACAACAAATATCTACTAATTGTTTGAAAAATCTAATCATTCATTTACATCATATATATCACAATAACTATTAAATACAATTTATCAACGCAAATAAGATTTTACAAAAAATTTACCATCTGTCTAGAATTGTGGATAAGATTAAATTTCTTGAAACGAAATTATATGATTTTTTATGAGTCAAAAGTATGTAATTTTTTTTTTTTTTAGTTAATGGTTTTTCTATTTACCTAATAGATAATGAAATGGCATTTACACATTTAAGTATTGCCTTATATTATTGTAGCTTCTCATGGAAGCTACAACTTCTCTAGAAATTTATAACAATTGAAAAGAAAAAAAATTGCTTAATTTTTCATTAAGGGTATAAAAGATAATTTGATACCAAATTTGACATTTTTTTGCAAAAGTTATCAAAATTAGACACTTTTCAATTAACAAACATATAATTGATCATTTTTTAAAATTCCCCTAAAACTTTTAGACAAATCCTGTGATTGATATCTATGCACTTAATAGAAACGAGAATGCTAATTTGATCGTTCATTTTTCTGCACTCATTTTAAAACATATCCGATTTTATTACTATTCATTATCAGGTTCTTCTCTAAGCCCATGTTTGATAATCATTACTTCAAAATTTTTTAATTCTTGTACTTATTTCCAACTACACATTTATATTTGCACTTAGACCCCGTTTGATACACTATTTTTCAAGGAAAATTTTCCAACTTTTGTAGTGGTTGATGGGAAAATTTTTCTCCGGAATTCATTTTCTACCTCCTACTCTCACGCGCCTGTTTTGTTGGTTTTCAAGTAATTCATTTTGTTTTGGTTTTGGTGGTAATTGATTTTCCAGTTTTTTTTTTTTGGCAATTGGAAAACATTCTAGATATAATGGTAAAAAAAATTATCACATTTATTGACAATTTCCATGCAAAATAAAGTCAAACGAATGATATTCGGTATGATAATTTTTTTTTAAATTTTTTTCGGCAATTGGAATAAATTCTAGACTCAATGATAAAAAAATTTATCACTTTAATGGACAATTTTCATGAAAAATGAAACCAAACGGATATCAAACTTTCAACATTTTTCAAGTGAAAAATTATACCAATCAAACACAATTAAGTACAATTCCTAGTAAAACAAATTCTAGACAATTCAATTCCATATAATTCATTTTCTTTCCACCCAAATTCCACATTTGTACTCAAACGGACTTTTAATAAAAAGAGAGAATGCTAATTTCACTGTTCATTTGTCTGCACTCATTTTCACAAATACCAGGTTTTATTACAATTCATTATCATGCTCTTCCCAAGCCCACGTTTGAGAACATTACTTCAAAATTCTTTAAATCTCTTACTCATTTTCAATCATGGATTTACACAATAAAATATTTGGTGCTTGTTTAGGAGGAATTTTAGGGGGGATGAATTGATATTGAATAGTAATATGATGAGAAATGTGTGTNGAAGAATTGATTTTGAATAGTAATATGATGAGAAATGTGTGATTGAAAAAGAAAAAGAAATTATTGATGTAATGAAAAATATTATTTTATTGAAAAATGTGTGGTTGAAAATGAGAATTAATTTACTGTAGAATTTTGAGAATCTCTCCCAAACAGGGGTGCCCTTCGGGACAAAGCTTAGTGGTGTAAAAGATATGAGTGAGGTAGTTTTAGTTGAGTTGACGTTGTAGTGTGAGGGTACGATTCCTATCTCTTACAAGGTATATAATTAAACTCTTTATGGGTGCCAATATATCAGCTATATATCATAACTTGTTGAGGCACCCCCCCGACCTCCTCCACAGTGCTCAATGCGCCAATTTTTTTTGTTTTTAACATGCTTTATTAAAAAAATTAAGGGACTGTTTGGTAGGGATTCTCATTTTCTACAATAAATCAATTCTTATTTTCAACCACACATTTTTCAATAAAATAATATTTTTCATCGCATCAATAATTTTTTCTTCTTTTTCAATCATACGTTTCCCATCATATTCCCCCAAAAATTCCAAAAATTCCGTAACAAACAAGCTCTTAGTATTCAAACCATCGAATATCTCTGGTAAAGTTGTTTTTGCTCACACCCTCTCCTCTGCTTTTCGATTTCTGCTAAACCAAATGAAGCGCTAGGACAAAAAGAGGGATGAGCATCCGTTGTGCGTCCCGCAGTGGAGCAGCGAGTCCGGAGCGTCGTCCCCGACGCGTGGAAATCATGGTCGGTGTTCGTGGGTCAGTGGCATTTCCAACAATAAGCGAATTCAGAACTGTGACTAAAGCCGCCGCTCAGCGGCTCGCTCAGGCCATGGCTTCCCATGCTGCCGCCGACAACGGCAACGATGATGATGGAGACAATGACGACGAGTTAGGACTCCGGTTCAATCCTCCTCTTCCTCTTTCCTTCTCCAGGCCTGTCAAGACTAACGGCGTTAACAATAACACTAAGAGTAGCAACAGGCCTGTGGTTCCGTCTCCTAAGATCAGTAGATCTTCTTCGGATGCGGTGATTTTTAATTTTACTTTTACTTTTAATGTTACCTCTAAATTTAGAAATGATTTTGAGGATTTTCTGTAAGATAAAAGTAAAATTCCCGACAATGATTTCATTCGTAATTCTGGATTTTGAAGTTCCAACAGTGCATTTTGTTCTAAGCTATGTATTGAAGTGGATATTTGTAATACTAATCACGCCGCTTGTATTCACCCGGTGATATTTTGGCATCAATATGGTTTATAGTTTGTATGCACACAATACAAAAAAAGTGCAAGATTTTTCTTTTTTTTTTCTTCAGCAAATTATAATACAAGGCAAGAAATGTAAATGAAATTTGACTGTATCTTTTGATTAAGTTTCTCATTTACTTAGGAATATGGAATAACGTTCGTGTGGAGATATGGAATTCTAAATATACGTATGTAACTGTGTGCATCTCATCTACTGATGTCTATAAATGAATCTATATTTTTGTATGATGTGTTCTGAGAGATATTGGGGCTTCCTTTTATTTTCCTTTCTATTTATTTTGATCAGGTCACTGAAAACTTATTGGATGAAGCTCCACCAGCTCGCTCAACACCTACTAGAAGGCTATCCTTGTGAATTCGCACAGTTCCTTCACTGCCACCCAGTAGACCATCACTTAAGACTCCAATGCACATACCGGCGATTGATCCTCCTAGCAACAGACAAAGAAAGAAAAAGTATGGAATCTATCTTCAGCTGTTTCAGAAAGTAATTTTCAACTTCCCATGAATTATCAGGCATTACTACTTTTTTAACAAAACATTTTCCTTTTAAAATCTATACTACCATAAAATTGTCATCGTGCGGGGATAGTGTATGAGATATTTATTACGTTAAAGCCCTGTGTCCCTTGTACATGGTGGATATGTCCTTTCATAATACCATTGACATGCAAATTTAAGCAGTCTAAGGGCTTCTCTGTATAGGAGTATAAGCTTCCCTATTCGTTGAATACTTATCCGTGTCAATGGTTGGATGGTATTGCTACCTTCATGAATAGAGCAATATATAATTGCAATTCCATTTAGTTTATTTCATGTTAATACACATTCCAATGTGAACTGCACGTTCTTACCAGTTTTGGCACAATTAAACTTAAATGATAATGGAGAGGAGCGCACATCTTCTGCCCTTCGTGATGAAGTATGTTATTTATATACAAAAAAATTGAACCAGTTTTCTGTATATAATGCCGTTAATTTCCTGCTCGTCAGAGGAGTTTGTTTTCTACTAGTCTTTTGTCAATCTAATAGCTGCTTATTGGGCAGCTTGATATGCTACAAGAAGAAAATGAGAGTTCTCGAGGAAAGGTTTAGATCCTTCTTATTTCTTGTATAGTGCTCTTCAAGTCTTCCTTCACTCCAGTTGTGTACTATAAAAATCATTCGATAAATGGTGATTTGTTTTACAGCTCAGAATTGCAGAGGACAGTTGTGAGCTATGGTGCACCGACACGGACAGTTGTGAGCTATGATGCACCGACGCCGACACGCGATTTTTTAAAAAAGTACAGACACGACTCTTCATTGACACATTAATTAAATTCTTAAAAATTCTTCATTTATGTAGTATAAATTTAGTTTTATACTTGTTATTAATTTTTCTTTTTGAAATCTTTTAAACATGAGTACGTATTTGTTACTTGCTAAAAATTTTGAATTAATAATATATAATATTTTTAATATAAAAAGAAAAATGATTACGGCTGAGTGTCCGAGAAGTGTCGGTATCGACTCGTGTCCGACACGTCACGCTATCCTAATTGAAGTGTCCGTGCTACAGAGGTTGTGAGGAAGCTGAACCCAGAGTTAGGGAACTTACAAACTTTGTTACTAACTTTCTAACTTTTCTTCCTTTTTCCTTTTGAATTAAAGTGACACATGGTTTGATGCATTTGAACTGGAGGCTGATGGTAATGCAGATGTTCAAGGATGGATGATTGATGCTGGCATTACCATTATTGGCAAGCATGGAAAAGATAATGTGGCATTGTTGTTTCCCATATTTGAGAACTACTTAAACAAAAGGGTAAGTGCCCTATAAATGTTTCTCGAAGTCTTTTGTTTCAAGAATCATAAACAATGTCATATAGTTGGGATATTCATCTGATAATCTTTTAATACCTCTTGTATCCATTTTATAGAGTTTTCCCCTTTATTTGATATATATATATATATACACACACGCACACAGCTTATTGAAAGCATTTTAAATCTTGTCCTTGTATTGTTATTTATGTTTTTACTTTTCAGGCCTCAGATGAGGAAAAATATGATTTTGTGCATGAAAGTTACGTTATATTCATTGGAGCTTTTCTGATGAGTTGAAGTTTGATTCTTCTGTATTTGAAACTCACTTCTTTTGTTTGTAGAAAGAATTATAATTTTTACTTGGTGGAATACGCAGCTGTGTTGGCGTGATCTTTGTTGGGTAAGTTCTCTTAAAAACTTTGTTTCTTCTGTTAAATTTTGCACTCTTTTCGATGATTTTTCTTTTGCTTCAAGGATATGTATTCTTTGGGTTCAAGTATTTCTGCTTGTGCACTTTTATGTTTATTCGAATAAATTATTTATGATCAGTTCTTTGTAACAAGTTGTTTTTTAGATTGTGGTTGATCTGTAGATCAACAGATGATTTTAGTTTTGTATTGTAGGCTGAATAATAGTTGCACATGTGTCAATGAATCTGATGAATATCTGCAAAATTTACAAAAACCTCATTTTGGGCAAGTTTATAGAAATGACCTTTTATCTGTGTCCTGTCATTTTGTTTAGAACTTAGAGTTTTCCCTTACTTTATTGATTTTTTACTGGTGTAGATTAAGATACGTAAAATTGAAAAACATGATTTGTATGTCCATTGTTACGAGTTAATTCTTCTGCGTTGTTTCCGACATATCTCTTAAGCAGCAGTATTAATATATATTCTTTTGGCCAGATAATGTCTGTTATATTAATATTCATGTTTTCGTGTTAGATACATTCTCCGACTTGAAATGATCGTCTTCCCTTTCCTTTTGAGATGTATAATTATAAATATCACTTTTCTTACTCTTGAATTTCAAGTTCGTTCTCACTTGGTTAATATCTGCTCCAGTAGCAACTGAACTTTGCAAAGAAGCTAAATTATAGAGAATTGCTGATAAATTTGATCCTCTAAACACATTGATGAAGTAGTTGTGTAAATCATAATTCACAATCTATCTTAAACAATCTGTAAATATATGTTGGAATCACCAAAAATAACCTCAGTCATGTTGACTTACACTACTATGCCTCTTAGCAGCGGACTTGGTTACTTTCCAAATGTAGAAATGTGCAACACAGATGTAATCTAATATTTGTCATGAGCCAAATTGATGTTCCTAACGTGCGCGGATATTATTCTAAAAGTGCATGAGGATTGTTAAAATTGTTTCTCTCTAATAATTCTTTTCGTGAACGCGATAAAGTATCATGTCCTCGTATATAATATCCTACTGGGTTAATTTCACAAATGGTCACTGAAGTTACACCAAAATAACAAAATGGTCACTGAAGTTCCAAACTTTCATAAACGGTCACTCAACTTTCAGTCACTTTCAAAAAAGGTCACTGAGCAAAATTAAGGGACTTCTTTATTCTAATTGAAACCTAAATTAACAAACTGAGGCCCCTTCAAAATTGGAGGGGCTGAATTGCAATTTCATTTGCAAAAAACATCTAATTGACGTCTTTTCCTGGTTTTTTTACCTGTTTTGGTTATCTCTATATACAATAACATCAAGGAGGAGGTAATTACATATTATGGTAATTTGTGAAAATGGAACTTGTCTACCTCACAATTACTTCCCATCTTGTATGCAGCAGCAGAGAAAGAAGAACCTCTCGAATTACATATCATCACTGTATATCAGCCAAATCATAGCTTAGAATTCATGAACAAATCTTCAGCTGCATAATAGGCATGTTGGGGCAATTTTGGATGATTCCTCTGCACATGGTTGAACAGCAGAATGAGTATCCTCGGGATCAGGACTCGGGGGCACATTTGGGACTTCTATAGAATGGTTCTCGTTGGGGACTTCTACCTTAATAGCACCCATTGAAGTATTGGATCTGTGGAAAACAGCAGATTTTTCAGTCTGGCGTCTATTTCTCTTCTCTCTCGTGGCCGGATGAACATAGTACGAGGACAGTAGAAAAAATTGGATGACTTACCAAATTGAGGAGTTACCAAATATCGTATTGCCCTGCTGAAGGTTTTACTGGGTCCTATTTGTAGCAATAACATCACTTTGCCTGTCAATTGGAGGTGGATTCATTACAGGAGCATATATTATAGGATGATGCGTGTTTTTGATGAACCACATGTAAGTAATAACTAGGGTTGATTGAGATAATTACGCATAGGACCAATTTTGATGTCATTGGAGGATATTGACAATTAGTGTGCTAGCTTCTGGTTAAATCAGATATATATACAATTAATACAATGTGGGCTTTGGTAACAGTTTACTTGGGGAAAATAATGGGTGCATCCTTCTTCAATGTTTAAAGTCTTTGCACATTATTAGAATAAAGGACAAATGAACAGATGGAATCTAGCCTTCAAAAATGCAACAATCGGAATTATAATTCATGATGTTTTAAAAGCAATATAAATGAACAGATATCAAGGCCAATTCTATTATTTATTTTAACTTCCTTTTTGTTCATTTTGTGTATATTTTGTTGGAACTTGGAAGTTTCCTATTCAAGGAGCTTCAATCCATTTTAAAAAAAATTTACAAGTATTCTTTAGGACTTTTAATAATTCTTTCAGAGAACTTTTAAGATGACCTCTAAGACAGTTGATGTAAATTTAGGCTAAAATCATTAGAATAAATATGTTAATGAAAGGTTTAAAGGCTACCTTATGTTATTTTTATTCTTTTTCTGGATGATGTAATTTCTACTATCCTTCTTGCCCTTTATTCACTTTCCTTGGTTTTTTATGGCTTCTATCTTCAAAGAAAATGACATGGCATATATACACTGCAGGAGACAGAAGATGGGGATTATATCCCTCATCTAAAATGACAGCCTGTTTTTCCGTTTCTTCCTCTACGAATATATGGCTTTAAGTTTATTCGTACGACTCCGACTCCAGATGAAGCTGGAACACAGGTCGTAGTACTTAAGCTGAAGATGAAGCTGGAACTCAAGGCTGGAACATCGGCCATACTGTGTTCAATTTATGGAATCTGACCTTCACCAAGTGATTAAGGCTAATGATGATCGAACACCTGAACATTATCTATTTCTCCTGTATCAGCTCCTTCACAACTTAATATACATTAACACAGGTTTATTAAATTCTTCAATATGAAACCTCTCCTTCCACATTCTTCCTTCCATGCATATGTGAGGAACTTATCTGAGTTATTGTTGTTATTTTTATTTTTATATAACAATTGTGTTCAACCAACATTTGAAGCGAAAATTTATTATTGCTAATGCTGATTGTTAGTTAAATATTTTCGATTTTCTTCTTGCCCGTGTTCATTTAATGAAGCCCCATCAGCTATTTTTTGGGCTGTAAATCTGACTTCTATT